GCTGACCCAGGAAATTACAAACATAATGGTCACCTATGTTCCCTAATTCGCAAAACCACCAGAATCTTGATAGGACTATGAGTTCAAACTCATTTGTAATTATTGTGATGGACACAAAGTAAAAGATAAGCTCTCAAGTACTAAAATAACAAATAGTGTGAAGATCTGCAATACAACATATAATTCTCTCCAGCAAAACTAATTTTCACATTTAACTTATTTTGCTAATAAATATACATAATATAAAATAAAGGTTTACTTCAGGGTGTAATGTCACCATAAAATCTTTCATAAATATTGTCTTGCAGTGATCACTTCCTTATCCCAACTCCATTCTATCCATTCAGCAAATACCTACTGGGCACCTGCCATGTGCCAGGTGCTAGAAAAATGATAAGGAACAAAAAAAGACAAAAGTCTTCATAAAATATTCTAGTGAGGAATATGGACATTACAAGATAAATAAAGGAAAGGTACAAGCATGTTAGTAGTAGTAACTATTAAGGAGAAAAGTAGTTAAAAGCAGCTATAAAATGTCAAGGCATTTTAAATTTTTATTTTATCTTTATTTTCAAGTCATTTTAAGACACTTAATGCTGTACTTTTTTAAATCTCTAATTGCTTTACACATCATTTTGTCCACACAACTAAGCTTATGAACAGAGTATAAAATCAAGGAGTGGCTGGGCATATTGTACACTTTTATAACTTCTGGTTACTTCATACAATAACTAAATCACAATTAGGCTTTTATACTATACAGTGCAGTCACAGAGATTAGGAATTAAGAGATAACAGAGTAATTTATGCTCCAAAAAAGCTCACAGTCTAGTGAGAAAGAAGGCATTTATCTTCCTACAATACATTGTTAGGCACTCATAAGAACATGGTTTGCAGGTGCTACAGTTTGAATGCATCCCCCAAAACTTAATCCCAAATGCAAGTTTTAGAAAGCAAGGTCTACTGGATTAATCATGAATGAGTTAATTTTGTCTATAAAAGGCCTCAAGACTAAGTGTGACCCCTGCATATCCATGCTCTTGCCTCCCCCTTTCCTCTGCCCTCTACTTTCTCTTACCCTTCTGTTGTAAGATAATACAGCAAAAAGGCCCTCGTCACACACCAACTGCTTGACTGTGGACTTCTCAGCCTCCAGCATTGTGAAAAATAAGTTTCTGTTGTTTATAAATTACTTAGTCTGTAGTATTCTACTACAGCAACATAAAATAGATTGATACAATCTGTCATGAGAACACCTAAATTGAGACTGGAAGAGAAAATCAGGAAAAATTTTCCAAAGGTATATTTGGAGTTTTAAATGACTTAAATTTAAATTTAGAATTTTGATGACCTTGATAAGTGTTATAATTTAAATCTAAAATGTTCCACAAAAGTCTCACACGTGTCTGAAGGCAAGAGGATCACTGGGACATTATATTCACAAGTGGATTAATCCACTGATAGAGGTTCATAGCTGAATGTGCTGTTAGGAGGTGGGGCCTGGTAGGAAGAGGTGGACCACTAGAGGCATGACTGGAAGGGATGATTCTTGTCTTCTCTGTTTCCAAGAGGCTGTAGACTGAGCAGCTATCTTCCGCCATGCCATTCCACCATGCCTTTTCTCCCTTAAAATTAGCCCTGAAGCCAGCTGACCAAGCATGGGCTAAACCCACTGAGACGATGAGTCAAATAAACCCACTGTGATGGTGTGTGTCTATATGTCCTCTCACCACCTCATGCAGACAATAGGTGGAGTTTTTTCAGAAGTGATTTGATCTACAGTGTGTGAGGCTGGAACTGATTCATGGTGCAATGCTAGGCTCAAGGGCACTAAAATTAAGCATATGAGTACTACCTGCCCTAAGTAGCCTGGATAAAATAAAAGGGGCAGAAAGATGCTGTGAAGGTCTCCTGTTACTTTTGCTGCCTTGTGCATGCAATGAACTGTTACTCCTCTATGATGCCCCTCTGCCATGTGCCACTCGGCCTTGGAGCCAGCCAATTATGGACTGAAACCTCTATGAACTGTAAGCCAAATAAACTTTTCCTCCCTTAACTTCTGGGTGTTAGGTATTTGGTCTCAGCAATGAGAGAAAAGTAACTAAGACACCCCCTCCTTCTTTAAAGTGCGGCTATCAGATATTTTGTCCCAGCAAAAGTGAAAAAGAGAGAAATGCACGTGACATGAAAAAATACAGACCATTCAGAGATATGCAACTGGTTTGATTTGCATGTAGATAATATATAAAAACAAACATGAATCTGGGCACAACAGTGGTCCCCAATTTTTTTGGCATGGGGGATCAATTTCATGGAAGATAATTTTTCCACAAAAAGGATGCAGGGAGTGGTAGAGTGGTTTCAATATGATTCAAATACATTACATTTATTGTGCACTTTATTATGAACTCTATTATGAACTCTATTATATTGTACACTCACTTTATTATATACTCACCACAGTGCACAACTAGTGGGAGCCCTGGACTTGTTTGCCTGGAACTAGATGGTCCAATCTGGGAATACTGTGAGACAGTGACACCTGAAGCATATTGCCCATGTCCAGTCCACTCTGTAATCTTATTTTGGTTGCTATCACTACAGAAAGCCCAGCTTCACAAAGATAGGGTACTGGAAATAAGGGCTTTTCGGTGCTTTTGTGGCTACTCAGGATATTCCACCTTGACTTTAATCTAGAACATATAGAGATTTGAATTTGTCTCAAACATACTTTCAAGGCCACCATAATTTGTGACCTCCAGAAGTTGATTATCATCTACCATAGACAAAGCTGATTCATCTGATTTATTCACAAATGGGTTGCAGATCCATTCTTTCCCAGTTCTGGTGGTCTTTTGTAGTTGGAAAATAATGCTGAAACTCTCTTGAAAGCTAAGGTAGGTGACCATGCACCAAATAGGGGAAAGAAGGTCCTAACTCAGTCTTAAAACCTCTATTAATATTTGAAACATATCAAAAAATCCCAGGGTTCATGCATCACCCCCATAACTCCAGTCTGGTTCTGA